ATTTGTTTAGAAAACTTTTCTTAGGTCGAGAGTCACTATTAGAAAGTATCTTTACATTTCATCTCATTTCGAAATAGCTATATTAATACCTACCATTCCCTTTGCTATTTGCCAAGCAAAGGAAAACAGCTTTTGAGTAGTAAAGCTGTCTTCTTCTTCGTCGTCATCATCATCAATATTTTCAGTCGATATAAATATGGCGGCAGCGTTCCTGTTTCCCTGTGATGTCGATGGAATCGGCAGCAGTTCCATTCCTTCCTGATCCAGGAAGTCGTCTTCTTCGTTGTCGTCATCATCATCACTTTCACTTGATTTCAATATGGCGGAAGCGTTGCTGCTTCCCTTTGACGTCGATGGTATCGGCAGCAGTTCTATTTTTGGCTGAAACAGAAAACCACCATTGTTTTCTTCCTCTTCGTCGTCGTCATCATCATCATCATCATCATCATCATCATCAATATTTTCAATTGATATCAGTATGGCGGAAGCGTTGCTGTTTTCCTGTGATGTCCATGGCATCGGCAGCAGTTCCATTCCTTCCTGATCCAGGAAGTCGTCTTCGTTTTCGTCATCATCAATACTTTCACTTGATATCAATATGGCGACAGCGTTGCTGTTTTCTTTTGATATCGATGGTATCGGGATCAATACGATGTTTTCCTGAGGAAGTAAATCGTTGCTTTTTTCCTGAATAAAGAAGGCAAGAAAAAAAGAAAATAACCTAAAAAGTAATGATAGTAAACTAAGCGTGTGTAAATTATTTCGTTATTCATATTTTGGGAAGGGAGGGCAGGATAGAAATTGGGGTGCTTGTTTCAAACATAATGTAGCGTAAGAAAAAAGCTAAACTTGGTTAGTTTTCCTTATATCGATTGTAAAACATTTGTAGCAATATGTCGAAGTTGCGCTGCTGTTCAATTGTTTTTTGTTTTTTTTTTTCTCAGTTTTGATTTTGGTTTCAATGCAAAATCTCTCTCTTCTTAAAAACAAAAACAAAAAATAGGAGGAGTGATACCCGAAAGGCGGGAGACATTTTAAAACCTTACATTCCGTCAAGAGGTCAGAGCTGAAAAGTTACATCGGACTAGATTAGTGGGGGGAGGGGAGGGTGAGGTAAAGCGAAAGTTCAAAGACTGGGTAAATTTTTGTGAGAGTAGAGGGGGATAGCTCCTTTATCTCCGGAATTTAAAGAACCATCTAAAGGCTCTAGTTCGTCCTTTTATGGGATGTCCTTGGCTATTTATCCATACTCCCATCCTGCTATTTAAATGCAGTTAAACTGATCACGTTTTAATATTTTTTATATCTGTCAACTTTTCTTTTCACGTGGAATGAAATACTCTTTTAAACTTTCCTATTGAAATTTTGACGTCGGGGCTAAACCGTTTTTCCAAAACAAATTTGAAGAGGATATTTGGCTAATAGCATTGTAACGACAAATTGGAGATTAATGATAATATATTCTTAAGTGGTATTCAAGCTGTTTCTTACCTGAGAAAGCTGTCCAGAGGACATGGCGATTTCTTTGTTAACTTGCAAACCACCAGAAATAGCCAAGGCCCGTTTTTCAGCCTGAAGGTCTTGTTCTCCCTGATAAATATGCATTAAAAGTTAAATACTTTAATTCTTATTGATATTTTCATTCACTCGCCCATTCGTCAGTTCGTTCATTTAATCCATTCAATCATTTGTCCGTCCGTCCTTCCCCCATTCCTTCCTGCGTGCCTGCCTGCCTGCCCGCCTGCCTGCCTGCCTGCCTGCCTGCCTCCCTTCCTTCATCCAATCCTGCACCACCAATTCTCTCAATAACCCCTGCTCAGCGATCAATACACTCTGGCAGTCAGCTATGTGACATATCAGTTGAAAGGTTATTTTCTCTGAAAGCCTTAAATATTTGATTGCAGATACACTAGATACACTATACAACTTTCCCCATCCTTCAAGTTACATACTGGTGAAGTCAAAGGCCTCAGAACTTTTGGTCGCCACTCCATCACACCACTCACGTTCTTGAAGCCCTAAACAGATCTGATTAGAATAGCGTTTAATGTAAGGCACCTACTTGGTCACATTCGCTCACTTCTTTTTGAGCATTGAATACTTCCTTCTCTTCATAACATTTCTTCTCTTCGTTAACATCAGTGCCTTGGTTTCGATTGATCTAGAGTACAATGAACACGATTAGGTCATAAATAACTAGCACGATTGGTCTAAACGTGGAAGTAATTAAGTTTCAAGATGAGAGCTGA